GTGAAATGTCGTTGTAGGCTCCTCTCTTCTATGTGCACTGTGCACTTTACCTGGTATACTCAGTAAATTTTTTTTTTTTATTATCACACTGGCCGATTCCCACCAAGGCAGGGTGGCCCGAAAAAGAGAAACTTTCACCATCATTCACTCCATCACTGTCTTGCCAGAAGGGTGCTTTACACTACAGTTTTTAAACTGCAACATTAACTCCAAAATTTTTTCTTATTTTCATTAAAATTTCTTGACAGTGCCTCTCCCACTCTATCATCTGCTCTCCTTTTGCACTCTCTCACCACTCTCTTTACCTTTCTTTTACTCTCCATATACTCTGCTCTTCTTATAACACTCAGTAAATTTATTCCCGAATAATTTTTACAATCTCTTTTGTCCCCCTTCTCTTTATATAAAGGAACTATACACACTCTCTGCCAATCCCTAGGTACCTTCTCCTCTTTCATACATTTATTAAACAAAAATACCAACCACTCCAACACAATATCCCCCCCTTTTAACATTTCTGTCATGATCCTGTCAGTTCCAGCTGCTTTACCCCCTTTCATTCTGCGTAATGCCTCACGCACCTCCCCCACACTCGCATCCTGCTCTTCTTCATTCCTAAGAGATGTTATACTTCCCTGACCAGTGCATGAAATTACAGCCTCCGTTTCTTCATCGACATTTAAAAGTTCCTCAAAATATTCCCACCATCAACCCAATACCTCCAGCTCCCCATGTACTAACTCCCCTACTCTGTTTTTAACTGACAAATCCATTCATTCCCTAGGCTTTCTTAACTCTCACTCTGCAATTTTTTCTTATTTTCAGCAAAATTTCTTGACAGTGCCTCTCCCACTCTTTCATCTGCTCTCCTTTTGCACTCTCTTCACCTTTCTTTTAATCTCCATATACTCTACTCTTCTTATAACACTTCTGCTTTGTAAAAACCTCTCATAAACTACCTTTTTCTCTTCTATCACACCCTTTACTTCATCATTCCACCAATTACTCCTCTTTCCTCCTGCACCCACCCTCCTATATCCACAAACTTCTGCCCCACATTCTAATACTGCATTTTTAAAACTATTCCAACCCTCTTGAACACCCCCACTACTCATACTTGGTAATATACCGTATAATTTAATTTAGTAAGGGTAAAGTTAAATGTACGGGTACTCACCAATAATGATAATTATTAAATTATATTTTTCTTAATATATTTCTTATTATAGGTAGTAGGTTGGTAGACAGCAACCACCCAGGGAGGTACTACCGTCCTGCCAAGTGAGTGTAAAACGAAAGCCTGTGATTGTTTTACATGATGGTAGGATTGCTCATGTCTTTTGTCTGTCTCATAAATATGCAAGATTACAGGTATGTCTTGCTACTTCTACTTACACTTAGGTCACACTACACATACAGGTACACATTTATTTATACACACTCATCTGAGTTTTCTTTGATTTTATCTTAATAGTTCTTGGTCTTATTACTTTTCCTTTTATATCCATGGGGAAGTGGAATAAGAATCTTTCCTCCGTAAGCCATGCATGTTGTAAAAGTCAACTAAAATGCCGGGAACAATGGGCTAGTACCCCTTTTCTTGTAAAGATTACTAAAAAGAATAAGAAGAAGAAAATTGTCAAAGTGGGAAGTCTGAATGTGCGTGGATGTTGTGGAGATGATAAGAAAGAGATGATTGTGGATGTTATGAATGAGAAGCTGGATGTCCTGGCTTTAAGTGAAACAAAGCTGAAGGGGGTGGGAGAGTTTCAGTGGAGAGGAATAAATGGGATTAGGTCAGGGGTTTCAAATAGAGTTAGAGCTAAAGAAGGAGTAGCAATAATGTTGAAGGATAAACTATGGCAGGAAGAGGGACTATAAATGTATTAATTCAAGGATTATGTGGAGTAAAATAAAGATTGGATGTGAAAAGTGGGTTATAATAAGCATGTATGCACCTGGAGAAGAGAGAAGTGTAGAGGAGAGAGAGAGATTTTGGGAAATGTTGAGTGAATGCGTGGGGAGTTTTGAATCAAGTGTGAGAGTAATGGTGGTTGGGAATTTCAATGCTAAAGTGGGTAAAAATGTTATGGAGGGAGTAGTAGGTAAATTTGGGGTGCCAGGGGTAAATGTAAATGGGGAGCCTTTAATTGAGCTATGTGTAGAAAGAGATTTGGTAATAAGTAATACATATTTTATGAAAAAGAGGATAAATAAATATACAAGGTATGATGTAGCACGTAATGAAAGTAGTTTATTAGATTATGTATTGGTGGATAAAAGGTTGATGGGTAGGCTCCAGGATGTACATGTTTATAGAGGGGCAACTGATATATCGGATCATTATTTAGTTGTAGCTACAGTTAGAGTAAGAGGTAGATGGGAAAAGAGGAAGGTGGCAACAACAAGTAAGAGGGAGGTGAAAGTGTATAAACTAAGGGAGGAGGAAGTTCAGGTAAGATATAAGCGACTATTGGCAGAAAGGTGGGCTAGTGCAAAGATGAGTAGTGGGGGGGTTGAAGAGGGTTGGAATAGTTTTAAAAATGCAGTATTAGAATGTGGGGCAGAAGTTTGTGGTTTATAGGAGGGTGGGGCAGGAGGAAAGAGGAGTGATTGGTGGAATGATGAAGTAAAGGGTGTGATAAAAGAGAAAAAGGTAGCTTATGAGAGGTTTTTACAAAGCAGAAGTGTTATAAGAAGAGCAGAGTATATGGAGAGTAAAAGAAAGGTAAAGAGAGTGGTGAGAGAGTGCAAAAGGAGAGCAGATGATAGAGTGGGAGAGGCACTGTCAAGAAATTTTAATGAAAAGAAGAAAAAATTTTGGAGTTAAACAAGTTAAGAAAGCCTAGGGAAAGTATGGATTTGTCAGTTAAAAACAGAGTAGGGGAGTTAGTAGATGGGGAGATGGAGGTATTAGGTAGATGGCGAGAATATTTTGAGGAACTTTTAAATGTTAAGGAAGAAACAGAGGCAGTAATTTCATGCGCTGGTCAGGGAGGTATACCATCTTTTAGGAGTGAAGAAGAGCAGAATGTAAGTGTGGGGGAGGTACGTGAGGCATTACGTAAAATGAAAGGGGGTAAAGCAGCTGGAACTGATGGGATCATGACAGAAATGTTAAAAGCAGGGGGGGATATAGTGTTGGAGTGGTTGGTACTTTTGTTTAATAAATGTATGAAAGAGGGGAAGGTACCTAGGATTGGCGGAGAGCATGTATAATCCCTTTATATAAAGGGAAAGGGGACAAAAGAGACTGAAAAAATTATAGAGGAATAAGTTTACTGAGTATACCAGGAAAAGTGTACGGTAGGGTTATAATTGAAAGAATTAGAGGTAAGACAAATGTAGGATTGCGGATGAGCAAGGAGGTTTCAGAGTGGGTAGGGGATGTGTAGATCAAGTGTTTACATTGAAGCATATATGTGAACAGTATTTAGATAAAGGTAGGGAAGTTTTTATTGCATTTATGGATTTAGAAAAGGCATATGATAGAGTGGATAGAGGAGCAATGTGGCAGATGTTGCAAGTATATGGAATAGGTGGTAAGTTATTAAATGCTGTAAAGAGTTTTTATGAGGATAGTGAGGCTCAGGTTAGGGTGTGTAGAAGAGAGGGAGACTACTTCCCGGTAAAAGTAGGTCTTAGACAGGGATGTGTAATGTCACCATGGTTGTTTAATATATTTATAAATGGGGTTGTAAAGAAATTAAATGCTAGGGTGTTCGGGAGAGGGGTGGGATTAAATTTTGGGGAATCAAATTCAAAATGGAAATTGACACAGTTACTTTTTGCTGATGATACTGTGCTTATGGGAGATTCTAAAGAAAAATTGCAAAGGTTAGTGGATGAGTTTGGGAATGTGTGTAAAGGTAGAAAGTTGAAAGTGAACATAGAAAAGAGTAAGGAGATGAGGGTGTCAAATGATTTAGATAATGAAAAATTGGATATCAAATTGGGGAGGAGTATGGAAGAAGTGAATGTTTTCAGATACTTGGGAGCTGACGTGTCGGCGGATGGATTTATGAAGGATGAGGTTAATCATAGAATTGATGAGGGAAAAAAGGCGAGTGGTGCGTTGAGGTATATGTGGAGTCAAAAAAACGTTATCTATGGAGGCAAAGAAGGGAATGTATGAAAGTATAGTAGTACCAACACTCTTATATGGGTGTGAAGCTTGGGTGGTAAATGCAGCAGCGAGGAGACGGTTGGAGGCAGTGGAGATGTCCTGTTTAAGGGCAATGTGTGGTGTAAATATTATGCAGAAAATTCGGAGTGTGGAAATTAGGAAAAGGTGTGGAGTTAATAAAAGTATTAGTCAGAGGGCAGAAGAGGGGTTGTTGAGGTGGTTTGGTCATTTAGAGAGAATGGATCAAAGTAGAATGACATGGAAAGCATATAAATCTATAGGGGAAGGAAGGCGGGGTAGGGGTCGTCCTCGAAAGGGTTGGAGAGACGGGGTAAAGGAGGTTTTGTGGGCAAGGGGCTTGGACTTCCAGGAAGCGTGCGTGAGCGTGTTAGATAGGAGTGAATGGAGACGAATGGTACTTGGGACCTGACGATCTGTTGGAGTGTGAGCAGGGTAATATTTAGTGAAGGGATTCAGGGAAACCGGTTATTTTCATATAGTCGGACTTGAGTCCTAGAAATGGGAAGTACAATGCCTGCACTTTAAAGGAGGGGTTTAGGATATTGGCAGTTTGGAGGGATATGTTGTGTATCTTTATATGTGTATGCTTCTAAACTGTTGTATTCTGAGCACCTCTGCAAAAACAGTGATAATGTACAAGTGTGGTGAAAGTGTTGAATGATGATGAAAGTATTTTCTTTTTGGGGATTTTCTTTCTTTTTTTGGGTCACCCTGCCTTGGTGGGAGACGGCCGACTTGTTGATAGAGAGAGAGAGAGAGAGAGAGAGAGAGAGAGAGAGAGAGAGAGAGAGAGAGAGAGAGAGAGAGGAAGAGGAAAAAAAAAAAAAAAAAAAAAAAAAAAAAATTACCTAACCTGACAGTAGCCAAAAGGTTGTCTCCAGTGATGATCTCAGTCTCACATATTGAACGAATATACTCTGCCTCCATATCATCAGCCACAGCACCTGTAAGCCCCATTTCTTCATCTATGTCTCCTTCTTGTGAACCCTGAAAAAATAATGAACCTTCGTTCACTTCAACATTAAAATTTATAGACACTAAGGTTGCTGAAAGATACTAAGAATTTTGAGAAAGAAAATTTCTCAAGGTGGAAATTTATATTTACATTTATAAATGCCAATAACCATGAGATATAAGTGCAAACTTACTAAAACTGCTGTATGTGACTGTGTTACATTAATCTAACTTATGAATTAGTAGAACTAATCCATAAATTCACTTTTTAAATTCACTTAATAATAGTATCAAGCAGTGACATTTTGTTATACCTAAACTTAAGTTACTGTACCCAGTTAACGACAATCTGAGTCATAATTGTAATCTGCATATATAAACTAGCTTTATTCACTAAAAAAGTATGAGAATTCTGGTTATTTTGTAGTAAACAAGATTTCATCCTGTAAGCGAATAACAAAATAACGCTTACTAATCTAGATGCCTCTGTTGCAGAGGTTGCATGCGACTTTTTTCTGCTCTTTCTTTTCTTTTTAATCTTCTTTTCTGTTTCCATTTCTTCTTTAAGGAAATTTCTTCTCTTTAGCTCTGAGAATATGAAAGTATCGAGATGAATCAGCTGCCGCAAAGCCACATGGCCTATGACCACATAGAAGCGAGATAAAACTCCCATGGGCACTTTAAGAATGTTTCCCTGAAAGCAAAGATAATGTCAGTATTGCTACAAAATTACAGAAAAAATATAAACAGCTAGATAAAAAGAAAGCAAAACATCGTTTAGAACAGCATTTCGGAGAAAAAGTGAAATAAAATTCAAATATTAAGTGACAGATATAAACAAATTAGACAGTTCTGTAACATACACACACACAAAAATAAAAAATATATACTTCTTCTCTCAACAAACTGACCGTATCCCACCAAAGCAGGGTGGCCCAAAAACAAGAACAAAAGTTTCTCTTTTTAACTTCAGTAATGTGTACAGGAGAAGGGGTTACTAGCCCCTTGCTTCCGGCATTTTAGTTGACTCTTACGACACGCACAGCTTACGGAGGAAGAATTCTGTTCCACTTCCCCATGGAGAAAAAATATATACACTAATAAATAAAAAAATATATATGTGATTAATAGGTTGGGAAAGCCTATGGAATAACTGGAATTGACAGTTAAAAAGAGAAGAGGGGTTATTAGATGAGGAGTTGGAGGGAATATTTTAAGGAGATGTAAGAGATGCGAGAGTGGTGGAGATGCACGAGGCTGTGGGTAGAATGAGTGGGGGGTAAAACAGCTCTGATTGATGGCATTAAGACAGAAATGTTAAAAGCAGGTGGGATTTAGTCTTGAAGTAGCTGAAACTTTTGTTCATTAAATGTATGAAAAGGTAAAGGTACCTAGGGATTGGCAGCGAGCATGCACAGTTTCTTTGTATAAAGACAATGTAGAAAATAATAGGGCAATAAGCCTGATGAGTATACTAGGTAAAGAATTAAGGGTTAGTTGGAGAACAGGATTGCAGATGAACAAGGTTTTAGAAATTAGGAGACGTGTAGATCATTGAAGAATATAAGTGAACAATATTTAGATAAAGGTAAGGTGGTTTTCATTGCATTCACAGATTTAGAAAAGGCATCAGATAAGGAGGATAGGGAAGCAATGTGGCAGATGTTGCAAGAGTGTAAGAATAGGTGGTAGGTTATTAAAATCGGTTAAGAGTTTTTATGTCTATAGTGTGGCTCAGGTTAGAGAATGTAGTAGAGAGGGAGATTATTTTCCAGTAAAAATAGACCTTAGACAGAGATGTATAATGTCTTTCTTTTTTGGGTCACCCTGCCTCGGTGGGAGACGGCCAACTTGTCGAGAGAGAGAGAAAAAAAAAAAAAAAAAAAAAAAAAAAAAAAAATTATAGATGGGGTTGTAAAAGAAAAGAAATGAATGCTAGTGTGTTGAGATTAAAATATACAGAATCTAATACAAAATGGAAGTTGTCTGAGGTGCTTTAAGCCGATAAAACTGTATTTTGGGAGATTCTGAAGAGAAGCTACAAAGGTTGGTGGATGAATCTGGGTGGGTATGTAAAAGAAAGAAATTAAAAATGAACATAAGAAAGAGCAAAGTGGCGAGAGTACCTAGTCAGGTAATGAAAGATTGGATATCAGTATGGAGGAAGTGAAAGTGTTCAGATATTTGGGAGTGGACATGTCTGTGGATAGGTATGTGAAAGACAAGATGAACCTTAGAATTTATCAGGGTAAAAAGGTGGGTGGTGGCATCTATGGAGGCTAAAAGGGAAATGTATCAGAGTATAGTGGTACTAATACTCCTATATGGGTGTGAAGCTGAGTTGTGAATGTTACAAGAGGAGGCTGAAGGCAGTGGAGATGTCTTGTCTGAGAGCAATGTGTAATGTAAATATTATGCACAATTCATAGCCTGGAGATTAGGAGAATGTGCTGAGTTACTAAACGTACTATCCACAAGAATGAGGAAGGATTGAGGTGGTTTGGGCATTTAGAGAAGCTGGAGAAAAATAGGATGACTTGGAGGGTGTATAAATCTGTAGTGGAGGGAAGGCAGGGTAGAGGACACCCTAGGAAAGACTGGAGGGCAGGGATAAAGAAGGTTATGTATATGAGGGGCTTAGACATCCAGCAGGTATGTGTGAGCATGTTACATAGGAGTGATTGGAGGCAAATGGCTTTTGGAACTTGATGAGCTGTTATATAATAAAAAATTACACATTTCAATTTTTGACTTCAAGACTTCACACAGAACGACCCTAAGCTTGTTATTTAATGAGATTCTAAGCTAATAAGTGACAAATGTTTACCAATAATAAAAATAATTAAGAGTGTATTTACATACCCCATTAAATAGATAATTACCTATGAGACTGCAATATCTTAATTAATGATGCAAGTGACTATGCCTTGTGGGTGTGACAAACAGCAACTGTAACCTCTGTGGTCAATAAATAATCCCTCTGGTGGCACAAAGTAAGCATCTTGTTACAAGTGAAATAATGTGACAGACCATCCTACTAAAGAAAGTTAGTATGTTATTATGGCCTAGTCAGATGGGAGAATGACACTGGAACAAAACAGTGATTATGTAACTGTCTACAGCCCTCCTTGCTCAATGATGGAGTTCCGTCCCTAAGACCGCGTTGGTAAATGAATTCGCATACTATAATGTTAGTGGGTTTGTGTCAACCATCTTTGATATTGTTTTAATGTCACCTGTGCACTATTTATAACATTTCTGGTGTACTTTTAAATGTTTATTCTGTATATTGTAATAAACAGAATAGAGGAAATCAACTCGAATATACATTATTTAGGTATGCATATTGGTCAGAGAGCCAGTCGTAAGCCCGAGTCATCAGTAGACGGGTATGTCGCTAAGTGAGGAGAGGCTGTATTGTACAGTCTTTTCGGTGAGTTACCATTTTCTGTTCATTCTAAAAAATACTTATCAATCTTTTGTATTACTTCATTTACTGAAGTTATAAGGTTCAATTTGTTAATAGATGGCAATGTAGAGTACATAATATAATCAAGAAATTTGCCGAGAACAGTATGGATGAGCATAAATAAATTAGAATATGTGCCAAAGAAGAGATACAAAATGGCTACCAGAGATAGAAATATGAATTACAATGAAAGGGTGAAAACATTAAAGATATCTATGTTTTCTGATAAGTGGAAGACACTATGTATGCAGTAAAACCTTTATTGCAACATTTCATCACAGACTAGCAACATTGTATTAAGGATTTCACTGCAAACTTTGTGTCTTTCTCAGTGAACACAGTATGTAAGCAATCAACTTAGGGTTTATGACAGGCTGATTATGAACACACACTACAAATAAAGTTAAATTTGTATGTCATAATTTTTTTATAAACATTAACACTGTATATATTAACAGTAATAAACTGCAGTATTATGCCACAAATAACACTATTTTGTAGCAATTCACAAGAAGTAAATGTAGCATCACATGCCCAACAATATCTTGCCACATGAAAACTCCCTGTATGTTTGGTATAATTTGGTAAGGAAATGTGGTTTATTTTTACCAGTGTTGATATGTTAATGGAAGGTCAGGGTGGTGGTAGGTGATGGTGGTAGTAGATGATGGCGGTAGTAGATGATGGCGGTAGTAAATGATGGCAGTGGTAGGCGATGGCGGTGGAAGGTGATGGCGATGGTAGTGGTAGGTGTTGGTGGTGGTATGTGGTATGTATATTTATGTTTGGGGAAAGAGGGTGAAATGTATATAAGATATTTCTATACAATGTTTGTTCTCCAACCTGTGATTGAGTACATTCACTTTCTGGCTCAGGGTCTTCATTATGGAGGTCCAACATAACTTTGCTCATCTCTTTTATAATCTCTCCACATATAAGGTCTGGATGTTCAGCCAGCTGTGGGCAGAAAATCAGTTCCATTAATATATTTTTAGACAAAATTATAAATTTAAAATTCTAAGGTCTGTGCACAATACAATATTACTCACAAAAGATACTGTATAATCTAACGCTATCAAGGCTATAAAGTTTGCTTACAGTAAAAAGAATAAATTGCTGCTATACCTTTAAAATTTTCCAACAGTATAGATATAGACAATCTAAATGGATTGAGATGTAATTGCTCTGCACGTGAAAATCTAAAGATACAGCACATCTATGACAATTTTTTTTTTTTTTTTTTTTTAATATTCTGGCCATTTCCTACTGAGGTAGGGCAACCCGAAAGAAGAAAACTTTTGCTGTTACTCATTCAATCACTGCCAGAAGGACATTAACATCACAGTTCAAGTAACCCTCCAAATTGCAAAATCCCAACCCCTCCTTCAGAGTGCAGGCAATGAACTTCACACCTCAAGGAATCAAGTGCGGCTAAGCAGTTTTCCTGAATTGCTTCATAAATGTTACCTAGCTCACACTCCAACAGTGCGTTAAATCATAAAAACCATTCATCCCCAATCACTCCTATCTAACATGCTCACACAAGCGTGTTGGACATGTAAGCCTCTAGAACTCAAATTGTCCTTTACCCCCACCCTCCAACCTTTCCTATGACAACCCCTACCCTTCCTTCCCTCCACCTCTGATTTACATGCCCTCCTAGTCAGCATTCATATAAAAAAATCAGTAACCATTTACCCCATTATCATTACTGTAGTCAGAAAGAAGTACTAAACCCATGGGTTTGATCCAAGGAAGAAGACAGATTCACTTCCTTGGATAAAGAGCCTTTCTCTGGCATGAGAGTGCCTTCCTTGAGAGGACCTTTTCCTAATTTGGTAAAATTAGTGATGGTGGGGATGGCACAGCTGTCAGGAAAATTAGGCAAGGACACAGCTACTAATTACCAAACTCCTGTGGTTTTGATCTCTGGTAGCAATGACTTTACAGGTGACAAGTGATAACCACAGAAAATTATTGTAATCCTTTAAAGACTGCCCTGCTAATATGAATACTAAGTAAGGCACTTCTGAAACTTCTTTCTTTTCTTTCAACGTACCAGCCGTATCCCACCGAGGCGGGGTGGCCCAAAAGGAGAAACGAAAGTTTCTCCTTTCAAATACAGTAATATATACAGGAGAAGGGGTTACTATCCCCTTGTTCCCGGCATTTTAGTTGCCTCTTACGACACGCATGGCTTACGGAGGAAGAATTCTGTTCCACTTCCCCACGGAGATAAGAGGAAACAGACAAGAACAAGAACTAGAAAGAAAATAGAAGAAAACCCAGAGGGGTATTTATATATATGCTTGTACATGTGTAGTGTGACCAAGTGTAAGAAGAAGTAGCAAGACGTACCTGAAATCTTGCATATTTATGAGACAGACAAAAGACACCAGCAATCCTACCATCATGTAAAACAATTACAGGCTTTCGTTTTACACTCACTTGGCAGGACGGTAGTACCTCCCTAGGCAGTTGCTGTCTACGGACCTACTACCTATAACTTCTGAAACTATGTGCTTAAATTAAAGCGTTGAACTGATAAATGAGAAGGAAAAAAAACGATCGTTGTATTACCCTTAAATGAAATACGCTGTTCACTTCCTAACAGACAGGTTTTCCTCAACATTCACAAAGGTTAGGGGATCAAGAACCTCGTGAATGTTGAAAAAATCGCAAATATTAGGTGAAGGGAAATATAATACAATACTGCTTCCTTAACATATTGAACCATGAACAATCATAAAACATATGAAAACATCGTAAAATATTGTACTAGTGCCAGTGCTTTGGTAAAGGTGAGAAAAGCTATAAAATTCAAGAAAGAACTCGTAGCAGAGTACCAAAGTGGAGGAGGAAGAGAGAGGGGAGAATGTGCCTTCTTCAGTGATTCCATGATATGTATGATACTAAAGCACCACAAGTTGATAAAGGCTATAGCGCCAGCCAGCGATAAAATGTAGCATTAACCATGTAGCAAGTTACGCGGTTAATCGATAGAAAAAGGACAGCACGAACTTTACTCCTCCAATGTTGTTGGAGTTACATAGGGCGACTGACAACACCGCTGTCTCTAGTCTCTACCGCCTCCACCACCACTACGTAAGGCTCGTCTCAGTGGCCCTTATACGCCCAACAACAACACAACACAACACTCATGACATACTTAATGACGTATTTTATTCATTCTAGAGTGTATGTCATGTTTCTATGTTATTAGCATTATTTATTATGTTATATTAGATGAATTTTGATAGATAAATAAGCCGTAGAGTTGATATTAGTGCCATATTGAAGGACTATCTTGTCCTATCTCCAAACAAACTCTGTCACTGCCACAATTCCTAACATGTAATGACATATTTTAAATATGATTGGGCAGCTGGGAATTCGCGAATGTTCGAAGCCCATGAAAGTGGAAAATGCGAATGCTGAGGGAGGCCTGTACATACTTCTTTCAACAAACCAACCGTATCCCATCAAGGCAGTAGAAATACAGTGAACCCCCGCTTAACGATCACCTCCCAATGCGACCAATTATGTAAGTGTATTTATGTAAGTGCGTTTGTACGTGTATGTTTGGGGGTCTGAAATGGATTAATCTACTTCACAATATTCCTTACGGGAACAAATTCGGTCAGTACTGGCACCTGAACATACTTCTGGAATGAAAAAATATCGTTAACCGGGGGTCCACTGTATATGATTTCTGATATTCCTGAGGATGGGTATGGCTTCCCTACACCCTTTGGTCTGTTTTTTGGGTTTTTACTAGGTCTGATTCAACTACTGAGATGCCGTAAACCATCGGCAAATCACTAATGCTTAAAATGCACCCAGACTATTAACTCTAGACCTGCGTAATTCCGTTATCTTTCCATCATATTTCACATTTTTGCTTTCATTACCTTCGGGAAAACTCTCTACCATTCAAAAGAGATTTCTTTTTTAAAAAATGTGGACACTGTGAGAACTTTTTAAACTGAGATATTTCTAAGTAACTATAAACCCACTGCATAAATAGTTGACACAGCCTCTACAGCCATGGGAGAATACTGACGATCTTGGAGAACTGTTAAGCACTTAACAAGGATCTTGCCGAGATGCTCAAAAATTTCATGGTTACGATCCAAGCTGAAATTAAATGGTTTATTTTAGGGTATGTTATATACAGGGAAATTTTAAATATTGTACGTACTGCAATCACATTTTATAGACTATAACTAACCATTTTTTTTACATTTTCCTTTTGAAAAGCAACAGCTTGCACTTATCAGTATTTATCTTTAACTTTCTATAATTTCACACTCCCTTATATGTTACTGCACTCTTTCATCCTTCAAGCAATCCTTTATTAACTACTCTAACACAATATTAAATCAGAATAACAAGTCAGTAAGGATAATGGTTTTCCAACCAACTCTCCTCTTAATATTACTTGTTCCATTTTTATCTAACCCTTTCACTGTCGGTCCCGTAATATTACGGCTTGCAAGCCAGTGTCAGTCCCATAAAAGTACATCAAAATTCTAGTGGCTTCAAATCTTGCAGGAGAAAGCTGGTAGGCTTACATACGAGAGAATGGGTCTGAGTGGTCAGTGTGCGCAGTATAAAAAAAATCCAGCATGCAGTACATAATGAGAAAAAAAAATGTTTTTCGTTTAAAACAGTGACTTTGCGGTGTTTTCGTATGGTATTTATGGTTGTATTCTAGTTTTCTTGGTCTCGTTTGATAGAATGGAAGATATATTACAGAACTAGAGACGATTTTGAATGGTTTACAGACTAAACATACCTCGAAATTGAGCTCAAAATAGCAGAAATGTTCAATTTTTGCCAATGTTCAAAAATAAACAAATGACATCATGCGTCCAACACATTTCAACTGGTGGGCCTAATATGCTTTCACTAATGCACTAATATTATTTATACCATTTTTACAATAATGCATTAGTCTGTATAACTGTAAATTTTCTGTTTTGTGTGAATAATAATTCAAAATGGAAAGCAAGCATAATATAAGAGGGGCCTGGAGACATGACTAATGAAGAGAGAAAATGTTATTTTAGTGCTAAGAACATTTGCCTTGTTAATTCTGGACCCTATTTTGAAATTAGCCTTCCCTGAATTATGTTTGAAATTGGCCAAATTACTAATTTCTGATCACTTTATTGGGTAGTTGACTTCGGTAAATAGGCGGTTTCTTGTACTCAATCAATAGAACAAAAGGAGTTCTAGTGAAATAGCTATGAGTCTGGTAGACTGGAACAGTGGAATTGGCCGAAAATAGGGCTCAAAGTGAGCAAAATCGCCAATGCGTAAATATCACCGAGCGCTAACTTCACGAGAGCGCAATTCTGTAAGTTTTTCATCAAATTTCATACCTTTGGTGTCATTACCATCACGCAAAGATTCTCTATCATTTCATGAGAAAAAAGAATTTTTTTTAAATTCTTTGACAGTGAGAGCCAGTTTGTGAGCAGGGGTCTCGACAGTAAAAGGGTTAAACTCAGCTATTTCCCCCCACAAAGGAAGAGTGAACCAAAGAAGAAAACATACACCTGCTGGCAACTGGAAGGCAAATGATAACACTTGCCTATTAGTTTCCTTTCGAGAATGGTAGTGACATTATAATCCAATGTTGACCCACTGAATGGCAACATTCCCACTCCTATCCAAAGTGTAGGTGCTTTTCCTAAACCCCTTCATAGGCATTGCCTTTCTCACATTCCAAAGCATGTACAATCCTGTGAACCCTTTGCCTCCATTGATTCACATCTAATATGCTCTCACATGCCTTGTAAATGTTTAAACACCCATCTATCAGCACCACTTTCTTTCCTACACTTCTTTCTCCCAGTCACCCAGGTGTTATACACCTGGCACAGAGTTCTGCTCCAGTAACTACAAATAAGTAAACACAAATAGGTAAAAAAAAAAATAGCTATCTATTTTGCTCTATTCTTTCTGTGACAAACCATTTTAACAGGGCTTCCACATATTTAGAGCGTGCTTTTCATACCAGCATCCCAACTTCGTTCCATAACATGCGCATACAGGCATGTGTTAGATCCAAGAAGTAGAGATAAACTCTTTTTTGGGGCTTTGATGACTACTGGAGTGTGAATAAGGTAATATTTTTGAAAAGATTCAGGGGAAGTGGTACACTTGACTTGAGATCTAGCAGTAGTAAGTACAGTGCCTGCACTCAGAAGAATGGGCAAATATGCTGTGGTTCAGTGGGCCATTTGGATTGTGACATCTGTGCACCTCTGGAAAGACAGCTAAGGAATGAGTAATGGTGAGTTTTTTTTTTTTGGGTCACTCTTGGTAGGAAATAGCTAGTAAACTAAAAAAAAAAAAAAAACAGATTATGTTCATAAATTCATCTAAACAGTTGCTTATTAATAAGAATAAACTTTACCGATATGGTGCCGTAGGTGCATCGGTCTTGGGTTTCGGAACAGCTAATTTAAGCAGTGCAGTGCAAGTCTCTTTTGCGAGTGCTAAATCTTGTTCACCTCGTTCTCCCAGGCCTGAGTTGATTAGCACACTTATGTTACTCGAGATGATACTAGCTTCTGAACTGAAAAATTTAACACATTCAGCTAAAAAAAAAAAAAAAAAAAAAAAAAAAAAAAAAAAAACTTAACAGAAATTACACTACTCTCTAATGAGAATTTTCCATTAGAAGACATACAATTAGCTACAAAAACCTAACTAGCTGAACATTTCACATTAACCTTATAATCCTGTCATTCTGACAATAGGTTCTATGTTATAAACTCTTAAAACTTTACACATATCTAAATGCAACAGTTTACTGAAAATGAAGCATTACAACTCATTTCATTTTACTTTCCGTGGCAGTAAACTTTGAAACAGTATTCCTAAATTTGAGGAATATAATAGCACTTTCACTGCTAAAATTTTTTTTTTTGTTAAATGAACCTATATCCCTTCTAGTCCTTGTTTTCAGTTCTACATTCATTATTCATCTCAAAAATTTATATTTTGCAAGGTAAATGGGCATATGTGCAACTAATAAACATTTACTGCAGCTTGGTTTTGCTCACCACGATATATGTCACGCCAATACAAACAATACACTGACACACAAAGAACGTAGTCTCTTACTAGTGTGTTTAGCAGAAAAGGTGATCTCTAAATTAATTCCAGCCACTCTCCAGCTCCATCACATTAAATCATCATACAATGAGATGACTACTACTCTACTATCTCCTCTACCTTGGAGAAAACCCCACCTAGATACCTCAACTTCCTCCCCTTATATACCCTTTATCCATGCAATGTATCAACTGCATTAACTTTAAACTCCTGGTGAGTGAAACGTAGCTTCAGTAAATGTAGTACTAGTCGCATTTACCTAACACTGTCAGTCGTTTTAATAATAATTATTCATAAAATATATTTTACTGCACTTAATGTTGTTTCTCCAGAGTTTTGTCATATATTTTTATCTTAGAAAATTTTAGCCCTATCACTTTCCCCTCCTTTAAGTGATTGAATTATATACCACTTTTTAGCTTACATGACTGTCTACCTCATCCACTAGACAAACTTTTAGCCATCTAGATTCCAGATTTACAGCTGATCTAAACACTACAATTAAATGATCTAAAGTATCTACATAACCCTAAAAATTGCTTTTGTAGTACTTTATATTCTACAGTAACTAAAATGAAATTAATTATGGTCACATTAAATTTATTTTCTCTATGCCTCATCCAGATGTAATTATGTTTGTATATTGTGGAAATTTGTATTAACGACACTCATTCAATATCCTGTTTTGGACGTCGCTTTTTTTTAAACTAAACATACATGTCTGATATGTTTTTTATTGCCCTTTCACCTATTAAACCACTACATCATCTCATAATCACTTACATACTTGTTTGGGTTTATTTCAATAATTCTAAATTTTGCTGCTGAATGAATCTTTTAGTTGTTTCCCTTCCTATCATTGCAATAGAAAAAAACTACACATTTTCTATTTATGCCCAGGTGAATTTTGTTTGTCAGCTTAAACTAATATTTGTATCTAATTATATTTTCAAACTATCTTTCAACTTAAGCTTAATGACATCTGTTGCATTCCCATCATTATTTGCTAAGCTTATTTCATTACTATACATAATTTCTTCAGAGCAAGAGATAAATGAAGCTGTTATCACAGCAAGCAAAATCACTTGTTCATAGAGCACTCAGAAGGCAACTCATCTTTAGCAATTCACTAAGTGAGCAAACTAAATGAAGCATTAGATTTCTCAGCTGCTTGTGCAAATGTAAGTTTTAGCATTAAGGTATTATTAGTTTAAATTAAATTACAAATCATCACTGCATTCAGTAGAGACAATTTGAGGCCACTAGCTCAAATGCTTATCATGTTAATACAGTATAGACACTTACTTAGCACACATAGCTAGGAGCACAAGTGCTGATCGTGCTTCATCATCAGTTGTGTCAGACAAAGTTTTTGTAAAACGTTCCCATAGTAGTGTCATACACTGTTTAGTAATGTCGCCTGTGAAAAATTAAAACTTGAAAAGTAAATGCTGCAATATAATGCACAATAATCATTCAGAAGTTACAATTTTTTCTCCATCTTTAGCAAATAATTTCTAAAATTCACAAGCCCAGGAATTGGCAAGTAGGTTGTGAAGACGGTCTCTGTACCAAGATTCCATGAAGTTGCTGGCTGACGAGTTGAAAATCAATAGTATACAATACCGACAAGATGATAAATTAGATACAAGTGCAACATCTGTGTATCTTTACTATGTAGATACACAAATAACCCGCACATAGAAGAGAGGAGCTCACGACGACATTTCGGTCCGATTTGGACCATTTACAAAGTCGGATTGAAATGTCGTTGCAAGCTCCTCTCTTCTACGTGCAGGTTATTTGTGTATCATTCCAGTCATGGTATTGTGCCTATTTTTGTTACTATATAGATGTTTTGCCAACCAGTCACTTTATCAATATAATACAGAAGGCTAGAGAGGAAGACGATGAGGTACATAATCAGTCCCTCAGTCTATAAGCAGGTGTTCAGTACTGCAATCCTGATGAATCTGAAGCATTGACAAGAAGGAGTGTTCTTATATACTGGAGTCAGATAAGATGAAGGCATTATCATTGGCAGGCAGGATTCTCCCACAACCTACTTACTAACTCCTGGCTCTATTCCTGGGCATGACCTACTTCCACTGGGGAATCCTGCCTGCCAATGACAATACCTTCATCTCACCTGACTTCTTCCTGCCAATGCTTCAGATTTATCAAGACAACTGATTACCTCATCTTCTTCCTCGCCACTCATTTGTACTGTACTGATAGGATGGACAGTGGAAGAATGTAGGAGATGTTCCAAATGTATCAAATAGGCAGCATGTTACTAAAATCATTTGAGTTTTTGTGAGGGGAGGGAGGCTCAGAAATGAGAATGCAGGAGAGGACAATTTTTCAATAAAAGTGGGTCTTAAGCAGAGATGTGTAATGTCACTATAGTTGTCTAATATACTTACAGATGGTGTTGCAAAAAAAGCAAATGCTAAGGTGCTGGGAGAAGTGTAGGACTGAAAGATATTAATCTGATATGAAGTGAGAGTTGTCACAGCTGAATTGTCAGTGACAGTTCTTTTGGGAGATTTTGAAGAGTTGAAAAGGTTGGTGGAGAGGCTTGGGTCTGTGAAAGTGATGAATAACAAAATGTTTAGGCAGATAGGTCCATGAAAGACACGATGAACCATGCAATAGATAAAGGGGAACAAAAGGTGGCATTAAGGTGTATAGAGAAAATTTTATACAAGGAAGCAAAAAGAGAAATGTACCAGAGTATATGGGTATGAGGAATGGGCTTTACAGCAAGAAAGAGGCTTCAGGCGGCAAAAGTATCATATTTGAGAACAATCATGAGGTATAAATATGCAAAGAATTCAGTGTATAAATTAGAAGACTGTGTGGAGATACAAAAGGCACTATTCAGAGGGCAGAAAAGAGGGTTCTTGATGTGGTTTAGGCAGTTAGAGAGGACTGAGCATAATTAAATTACCAAGAGAATGAATAAGGTGGAAAAGAGGGGAGGGGTATCTTCTTAGCAAGGAATGGAATAGCTTGAAAGAAGCTTTAAGTGTTACAGGCTTGAACTTCCAGCACGTGTATGTAAATGTGTTAGACTGTGCTGGGTGGAGACAAGTGATTTTAGGGATTTTGTGCTACTAGAATGTGAGTGACAAAGTAATTTTTATGAAAAGATTCAGGAAACCTGTTAGCAGAATCCTAAGAGTGGAAAAGTACATTGAAGAAGGGGTGGGGATGTAACTGTGCAGAAGATGAATGATAGTGATTGCAGGGAGGCCACCCCTTTCTTGGTGGGAGATGGCAATGTTGCAAAAAAATACAGGTATAAAGATCAATCTCCATGGGAAAGTGGAACAGAATTCTTCCTCTGTAAGCCATGCATGTCGTAAGAGGCGACTAAAATGCCAGAAACAAGAGGCTAGTAACCCCTTCTGTATATATGCTACTAAATTTGAAAAGAAAAACTTTAGTTTTTCTTTTTGAGCCACCCTGCCTTGGTGGGATACGGCCAGTTTGTTGAAAGAAGAAGATAAAGATCAACACTGGTGAACTGTTGGATAGCAAAATTTGCAAGGCCTGATTATTGGTGGTGGCCAAAGCTATAGCCAACATCTTTCAACAACCTTCCTGACACTGCCTCCTATATATTATTTATTATTATTATATGTGATAATGCTCACATGTACTAAGGACATTCCTAATCACCAGCAAGTTCATTATTCAGTCAACATGTCATAATAAAAGCCACAATGCTGAACAGGGATGCCAAAAACTATCCAAGTTGTACATAACTACTGAAAAACATTGTAGCAGGAAAAGGAGTAAACAGATGTTTACACTAACCAATTTCCCACCTGTATTCAATGCGTTTAACACGATTCATTTCATGCTGTGAATTTTCAGAACCCTAACCCCTTTCTTCTCCAGTTACTGAAAGGGTCTACTTTTTATCAATATGGAGAAAACATTAAAACTGTGTGCAGCTTACTTTGATAAAAACCTTTATGGAATGAAAATTCATCTAAGATAAAGGAATTGCTGCACTAAATGTAGAGAGTGTTGGCAACTTTTATGGAGAAAGAGAAAGAAAAGCAAATTATAACCAAAATATAATTTTTTTTTTTAACACGTCAGCCGTCTCCTCCCAAGGCAGGGAGGCCCAAAAAAGAAAAACTTTCATCATCATTCACTCGATCACTGTCTTGCCAGAGGCGTGCTTATATTACAGTTATAAAACTGCAACATTAACACCCCTCCTTCAGAGAGCAGACACTGTACTTCCCATCTCCAGGACTCAAGTTTGCCCTGCCGGTTTCCCTGATTCCCTTCTTAAATGTTACCCTGCTCATACTCCAACAGCACATCAAGTCCTAAAAACCATTTATCTCCATTCACTCCTATCTAACACGCTTATGCATGCTTGCTGGAAATCCAAGCCCCTCGCACACAAAACCTCCTTTACGCCCTCCCTTCAATCTTTCCTGGGCCGACCCTTACGCTGCCTTCCCTTCACTACAGATTTATACACTCTCGAAGTCTTTCTATTTCCTTCCATCCTCTCTACATGTCCAAACCACCTCAACAACCCCTCATCAGCCATCTGGATAATAGTTTCGGTAATCCCGCACCTACTTCTAATTTCCAAAGTAAGAATTCTCAGCATTATATTGACACCACATATTGCTCTCAGACATGACATCTCCACTGCCTCCAGGTTTCTCCTTGTTGCAGCATTCACCACCCATGTTTCACACCCATATAAGAGCACTGGTATAACTATACTCTCATACATTTCCCTCTTTGCTTCCATGGACAAAGTGCTTTGTCTCCACAGACTCCCAAGTGCACCACTCACCTTTTACCTCTCATTAATTCTATGATTCACCTCATCTTTCATAGACCCATCTGCTGACACGTTCACTCCTAAATCTCTGAATACAGGTCTCCCTCAACATTCACGTTTTCAGCTTTCGCGGGCTTCACACATTCGCGAATTCCCAACCGCCAAATTCCCAGCCACCAAATTCCCAGCCGCCAAATCATATTCAAGTTTCCCACCACCTGCGAGTCCTACTACCCTCCCTCCGACCCCCGCAACTTGCAGCCAGCCCTCCCACCACTCAGTGTGGTGAGTGTTTTGTTTGTTCATTATTTGCTATTAAATTACAGTATAAATAATGTAAACCCATTCATGACTGCATATTGGAATGGCTATTCGGACAGGTATTAAACGGTGACATCATGTGTTTACTCTTGAACACAGCAAAGAATCAAACATTTCCGCTACTGCTAATAATAACAATAGTAATAATAATAATAATAATAATAATAATAATAATAATAATAAATACGATATAATTGAAGAAGGAAGTTGTACAAAAATACGAGGAACTGGTTGACACATCGTCAGTATGGCTTTGTTTATGCTGGAGTGAACATTAGTCTCCCTGCTCTTCCAAACATTTCATAATAATTCATTGTGTTTGGTGCTTGTAGATTGAGTGTGACTGGAGTGGTAGAGGCAGTGGTTGAGGCAGCGATTGAGGCAGCGATTGAGGCAGCGATTGAGGCAGTGGTTGAGGCAGCTGTTGAGGCAGCGATTGAGGCAGTGGTTCAGGCAGCTGTTGAGGCAGCTGTTGAGGCAGCTGTTGAGGCAGCGATTGAGGCAGTGGGTGAGGCAGTGGGTGAGGCAGCTGTTGAGGCAGCGATTGAGGCAGTGGGTGAGGCAGCTGTTGAGGCAGTGGGTGAGGAAGCTGTTGAGGCAGTGATTGAGGCAGCTGTTGAGGAAGCGATTGAGGCAGTGGGTGAGGCACCTGTTGAGGCAGCAATTGAGGCAGTGGGTGAGGCAGCTGTTGAGGCAGCGATTGAGGCAGTGGTTGAGGCAGTGGTATTTAATAACATACATGTTATTATTAATAATAATACATCTTATTAATAATATGTACTATTATTATTTATAACATATATGTTATTAAATACCACTGCCTCAACCGCTGAATTATTGTGAAATGTTTGGAAGAGCAGGGAGACTAATGCTCACTCCAGCATAAACAAAGCCACACTGACGATGTGTCAACCACTCCCTCATATTTTTGTACAATTTCCTTCTTCAATTATATCGTATTATTATTATTATTATTATTATTATTATTATTATTATTGTTAATTATTATTATTATTATTATTATTATTATTATTATTACTATTACTATTGTTATTATTAGCAGTAGCAGAAATGTTTGATTCTTTGCTGTGTTCAAGAGTAAACACATGATGTCACCGTCTAATACCTGTCCGAATAGCCATTCCAATATGCAGTCATGAATGGGTTTACATTCTTTATACTGTAGTTTAATAGCAAATAATGAACAAACAAAACACTCACCACACTGAGTGGTGGGAGGGCTGGCTGCCAGTTGCGGGGGTCGGAGGGAGGGTAGTAGGGACTCGCAGTGGTTGAGGAAGTGGTGGAGTCTGGTATTTAATAACATACATGTTATTAAAATGCTAGATAACAGGGATATCTTGCTACTCCTACTTACACTTTGGTCACACTTCACAGACACGCACATGCATATATATATATACATACATCTAGGTTTTTCTCCTTTTTCTAAATAGCTCTTGTTCTTCTTTATTTCTTCTATTGTCCATGGGGAAGTGGAAAAGAATCTTTCCTCCGTAAGCCATGCGTGTCGTATGAGGCAACTAAAATACCGGGAGCAATGGGCTAGTAACCCCTTCTCCTGTAGACATTTACTAAAAAAGAGAAGAAAAACTTTATAAAACTGGGATGCTTGAATGTGCGTGGATGTAGTGCGGATGACAAGAAGCAGATGATTGCTGATGTGATGAATGAAAAGAAGTTGGATGTCCTGGCCCTAAGCAAAACAAAGCTGAACGGTGTAGGGGAATTTCGGTGGGGGGAAATAAATGGATTAAATCGGGAGTATCTGAGAGATTTTAGAGCAAAGGAAGGGGTAGCAGTAATGTTGAAGGATCAGTTATGGAAGGAGAAAAGAGAATATGAATGTGTAAATTCAAGATTATGTGGATTAAAGTAAAGGTTGGATGCGAAAAGTGGGTCATAATATGCGTGTATGCACCTGGAGAAGAGAGGAATGCAGAGGAGAGAGAGAGATTTTGGGAGATGTTAAGTGAATGTATAGGAGCCTTTGAACCAAGTGAGAGAGTAATTGTGGTAGGGGACCTGAATGCTAAAGTAGGAAGAAACTTTTAGAGAGGGTGTGGTAGGTAAGTTTGGGGTGCCAGGTGTAAATGATAATGGGAGCCCTTTGATTGAACTTTGTATAGAAAGGGGTTTAGTTATAGGTAATACATATTTTAAGAAAAAGAGGATAAATAAGTATACAAGATATGATGTAGGGCGAAATGACAGTAGTTTGTTGGATTATGTATTGGTAGATAAAAGACTGTTGAGTAGACTTCAGGATGTACATGTTTATAGAGGGGTCACAGATATATCAGATCACTTTCTAGTTGTAGCTAAACTGAGAGTAAAAGGTTGATGGGATACAAGGAGAATAGAAGCATCAGGGAAGAGAGAGGTGAAGGTTTATAAACTAAAAGAGGAGTCAGTTAGGGTAAGATATAAACAACAATTGGAGGATAGATGGGCTAATGAGAACATAGGCAATGGGGTCAAAGAGGTATGGGGTAGGTTTAAAAATGTAGTGTTAGAGTGTTCAGCAGAAGTTTGTGGTTACAGGAAAGTGGGTGCGGGAGGGAAGAAGAGCGATTGGTGGAATGATGATGTAAAGAGAGTAGTAAGGGAGAAAAAGTTAGCATATGAGAAGTTTTTACAAAGTAGAAGTGATGCAAGGAGGAAAGAGTATATCGAGAAAAAGAGAGAGGTTAAGAGAGTGGTGAAGCAATGTAAAAAGAGAGCAAATGAGAGTGGGTGAGATGTTTCCAACAAATTTTGTTGAAAATAAGAAAAAGTTTTGGAGTGAGATTAACAAGTTAAGGAAGCCTAGAGAACAAATGGGTTTGTCAGTTAAAAATAGGAGAGTTATTAAATGGAGAGTTAGAGGTATTGGGAAGATGGAGGGAATATTTTGAGGAATTGTTAAATGTTGATGAAGATAGGGAAGCTGTGATTTCGTGAATAGGGCAAGGAGGAATAACATCTTGTAGGAATGAGGAAGAGCCAGTTGTGAGTGTGGGGGAAGTTCGTGAGGCAGTAGGTAAAATGAAAGGGGGTAAGGCAGCCGGGATTGATGGGATAAAGATAGAAATGTTAAAGCAGGTGGGAATATAGTTTTGGAGTGGTTGGTGCTATTATTTAATAAATGTATGGAAGAGGGGAAGGTACCTAGGGATTGGCATAGAGCATGCATAGTTCCTTTGTATAAAGGCAAAGGGGACAAAAGAGAGTGCAAAAATTATAGGGGGATAAGTCTGTTGAGTATACCTGGTAAAGTGTATGGTAGAGTTATTATTTAAAGAATTAAGAGTAAGACGGAGAATAGGATAGCAGATGAACAAGGAGGCTTTAGGAAAGGTAGGGGGTGTGTGGACCAGGTGTTTACAGTGAAACATATAAGTGAACAGTATTTAGATAAGGCTAAAGAGGTCTTTGTGGCATTTATGGATTTGGAAAAGGCATATGACAGGGTGGATAGGGGGGCAATGTGGCAGATGTTGCAGGTGTATGGTGTAGGAGGTAGGTCACTGAAAGCAGTGAAGAGTTTTTACGAGGACAGTGAGGCTCAAGTTAGAGTATGTAGGAAAGAGGGAAATTATTTCCCAGTAAAAGTAGGCCTTAGACAAGGATGTGTGATGTCACCGTGGTTGTTTAATATATTTATAGATGGGGTTGTAAGAGAAGTAAATGCGAGGGTCTTGGCAATAGGCGTGGAGTTAAAAGATAAAGAATCACACATAAAGTGGGAGTTGACACAGTTGCTCTTTGCTGATGACACTGTGCTCTTGGGAAATTCTGAAGAGAAGTTGCAGAGATTGGTGGATGAATTTGGTAGGGTATGCAAAAGAAGAAAATTAAAAATGAATACAGGAAAGAGTAAGGTTATGAGGATAACAAAAAGATTAGGTGATGAAAGATTGGATATCAGATTGGAGGGAGAGAGTATGGAGGAGGTGAATGTATTCAGATATTTGGGAGTGGACGTGTCAGCGGATGGGTCTATGAAAGATGAGGTGAATCATAGAATTGATGAGGGGAAAAGGGTGAGTGGTGCACTTAGGAGTCTGTGGAGACAAAGAACTTTGTCCTTAGAGGCAAAGAGGGGAATGTATGAGAGTATAATTTTACCAACGCTCTTATATGGGTGTGAAGCATGGGTGATGAATGTTGCAGCGAGGAGAAGGCTGGAGGCAGTGGAGATGTCATGTCTGAGGGCAATGTGTGGTGTGAATATAATGCAGAGAATTCGTAGTTTGGAAGTTAGGAGGAGGTGCGGGATTACCAAAACTGTTGTCCAGAGGGCTGAGGAAGGGTTGTTGAGGTGGTTCGGACATGTAGAGAGAATGGAGCAAAACAGAGTGACTTCAAGAGTGTATCAGTCTGTAGTGGAAGGAAGGCGGGGTAGGGGTCGGCCTAGGAAAGGTTGGAGGGGGTAAAGGAGGTTTTGTGTCCAAGGGGCTTGGACTTCCAGCAGGCATGCGTGAGCGTGTTTGACAGGAGTGAATGGAGACAAATGGTTTTTAATACTTGACGTGCTGTTGGAGTGTGAGCTAAGTAACATTTATGAAGGGGTTCAGGGAAACCGGCAGGCCGGACTTGAGTCCTGGAGATGGGAAGTACAGTGCCTGCACTCTGAAGGAGGGGTGTTAATGTTGCAGTTTAAAAACTGTAGTGTAAAGCACCCTTCTGGCAAGACAGTGATGGAGTGAACGATGGTGAAAGTTTTTCTTTTACGGGCCACCCTGCCTTGGTGGGAATCAGCCAGTGTGATAATAAAATAAAATAATAAATGTTATTAAAGCATAACATGTATATATTTAGTACAATTTACGACGCTTTCATGTATTTTATGATTGTTCATGGTTCAACAAGTTAAGGAAGCAGTATTGTATTATATTTCCCTACAATATACTGGGGCACCAAACATTCACGGTTTTTCAACATTCGCGAGGCTCTTGATCCCCTAACCCTCGCGAATGTTGAGGGAGACCTGTATATTCACCTCCTTCATACTCTCCCTCCAATCTGAGATCTAATCTTTGGTCACCTAATTTTTTTGTTATCCTCATCACCTTACTCTTTCCTATATTCACTTTTAATTTTCTTCTTTTACATACCCTACCAAACTCATCCACTAACCTCTGCAACCTCTCTTCAGAATCTCCCAAAAGCACAGTGTCATCAGCAAAGAGCAACTATGATAACTCCCACTCTGTGTTAGATTCTTTATCTTTTAGCAACTATGATAACTCCCACTCTGTGTTAGATTCTTTACCTTTTAACCCCAAACCTCTTGGCAACCTGAGCATTCACCTCTCTTACAACCCCAGCTATAAATATACTGAATAACCATGGTGACATCACACACCCTTGTCTAAGGCCTACTTTTACTGGGAAATAATCTACTTCTCTTCTACATACTCTAAATTAACAGAGATAAATAAATCATATAAATGAATAAATTACAGAATGCATTATACTGAAATTCTTACTCTTAAATAAATGTCTTACCTGAAGTGACAAACTGAGTGATAATCTCCTCCATTGATGTTCGTTCTCCCAGGGTGGCCCCAGTGATGAGTGCAGATAAGTTACGTACTATATGCAGAGCACGTGTTCTACAAAGTAGAGAATAAAAGCCTGGTAATTACCCTGCCTCGGTGGGAGACGGCCGACTTGTTGAAAAAAAAAAAAAAAAAAAAAAAAAAAATTATTCTCATATACAAGCCAACACCAGCAGCTACAGAGGAAGTCACCAAACAGATAAGGAAGATAGACAGCTGTATTAAAAACTTTCAAATTATTATCCTCCTTGGAGACTTCAAGCTCCCAGTTTCAAAATGGGAGAGGATAGATAACAGTATTATATGGTGAAGTATTCTACTTCAATAGGTTCGTACCAGAGAACTAAGATTATGCAAGAAAATCAACAAAGGAAAGAAAATCTACACAGAGAAATTACAGATAGAATAAACTTAAAACATTCATAAAAAACAAAGAAGCATAAAAGGAACAAAAAACAATTAAAATTTTTGGAAAAATGCAAAAATATCTTGCAGAAGTGGAATTCTACTCAAAGGAGATTCAAATGCAGATGACAAAGAAATAAGCAAGATCCTGAATGAACAGTATAAATCTGTGTTTATTGTTGCCTTGTAAATTGAAGATCCAGTCAGTTTTTTTTTTTCACAAATGCAATTCACCCTACAAATTATATATGTGATTCCTGGAATGCACTGTTCATAAAGGAATGAAAAGTACCATTAGTAAGATTACTCATGTTCTCTGGAGAAGCTTAAATTCAGGTAAAATCTTAAGAGGCTCTACATGCAAGTGGCCATCTCCACAAAAGAGACAGCTAAGCAATATAAAAACCTACATTGAGGTAGCACCAAGATTACACATCATAAAAAACTTTGAAAGGGTTCTGAGACACCAAATTACTGACACAACCCAAAACAACATGGATTTAGAGTGGGAAGAGCTTTTCTATCAACTTTTAAATTACTGAAGCCTTGGAAGGAAATTTTATCTGTGATTTACCTACAACTTGTTTTGGGAGTTTTCCTAGTCATAACAGATCCCTGGACCAGGCATCCATGTTGGCTGCTTGGTCAACCAGGCTGTTGTTGATGTAACCTTCATGAATTTTGCTAAGACATTTGACAAATGCAACCATAAAATGAGGTCAATAGATAATTAGACATAAAAGAAAAAGTAGGGGAAATGGACATTCAAATTTCTAACCAACAGATCACAAATAGTAGTAGTAAATAAAAATGTTAATTTTCAATCAAGTAAAAATTACAAAAATCAACAAAGTTATCCAATGGGCAAATGACTAACTGTTAATTAGAGTCAACTCTGTCTCCCAGAATTTGTCAGCCACCCTACAAATCCTGAAACCTGGCAACTATTTCCTCCATAAATGGGCTGTCATACTAAGTATGCTAGACCTTGACTACTTACCAATTAGACATCCTTGGTGATGCCTGGTACCTGGTCCATTATCAGGACACGTAGTCACTGAATGGAACATAGAACACTGAGGTGCTTACACCAAGCATGATGCATTACACTTGACCAGCTCTGGGACTAACTCCCATTGATCAATTACTCCAACACCACTGTGCTTATATTAGGTCCCTACCTAGTTTGCACAAGATTATGGATTGCAATCTAATTAATAAACAAAGTAAGGAAATGGATTTATGAGCCCCATGTCTTTCTACCTGGGGACTTAGAGTAGTGGTACTAGAGATGTCAGCACAAGACATCCATTAATTTGTATCCTGCTAAGTGATGAGCAGTTATCGTACCCGAGTGTCACCCAATCACTATAGGCAACACTCATTCAGCTGAAAGCACACATGAGGAACACCCTCAAGGTCACAGTTCACTCCTCTGATTGTTAATTCCAGCTTAGAGGTCCAGAGATAAACAAAATCACTTAAATGAGTCTCTGATACTAACACACGCCAGTGATGGGCTCGACATTAGAGTACACTGCAAATTACAGGTTGGGAGTTCAGGTGCCTGGCCTGTGTGCTTCATACAGGACACAGCTGTGCATCCTACATAGTGCTAGGGAAAGACTCAGAGGCATTCAAACTCTGCTATGCCCTGGTGCATGGCCAGCATTGGGCATAGGTTGCCAATGCTGGTGAAGGATGGCTAATTAAGTGCTTTTGACGTGTATGTCAGTCACTATGACAATCATAAATTCAAGGTTTTGGGACCTGGTGAAACACAGAACCCATTTCTAACATTGAGCCACTGAAGATTTAGATTTGGAAGACAGGGCAATATATGGCAAGCTATGGTCTCCCTCTCCTCTCAGAGTTGGGAGAAATTCATTAGAAAAACATCCCCTCTCTACCCCACATGATAGAGGGGCCAACCAACACCACGACCCCAAGGTCATATAGCCACCTCGAGAGAGGAGAAACGGGTAGAGAAGCCGGTGGAATAAATTTCACCACAGAGTAGAAATCTGTCTGTAACATGGGTGTCCATGGGAATATGAGATTTAATTAAATGAACTTTGTTGGGTCTCTATCTAGGTCATTAGTCAAGGGTCTATTAACTTTAAAGCACATATTTAAGCCAAATTGATTTTTTCACATAATCCTAAAGAATGCAGCAATAACTATGTACTACTTTTCATAGATTTCACATTCACTGTGCCTTCTGGAACAAGACTCTTAAGACTACAAATGATTTTCAATATGACTTACAAAGCAGCCAGAGAATTAGAAATGCTGAATACAGAAGCATGATCAATACAATATAATATAAACAGGTTCAAGCATCTACGAAAATCAACTAACCTCTCATTTGAGACATCAACATTTATGTAAAGACGCTGATAAGCCTCTACAACAGCCGACTTGATACCTTCTTCCTTGCTCCATACCAATCCCAGCATTCGTCTGACCCCAGTCATAGCATTCAGCAAGCCAAATTCAAATGCTGTAAATTTGTTAGTTAAGCATTAAATGCTGGAATAAAAATTATCAACCTAATTTTTTAAATAATGCATACACCAGAATGGAGATACTTTATTTTATTTTTATTATCACACTGGCCGATTCCCACCAAGGCAGGGTGGCCCGAAAAAGAAAAACTTTCACCATCATTCACTCCATCACTGTCTTGCCAGAAGGGTGCTTTACACTACAGTTTTTAAACTGCAACATTAACACCCCTCCTTCAGAGTGCAGGCACTGTACTTCCCATCTCCAGGACTCAAGTCCGGCCTGCCGGTTTCCCTGAATCCCTTCATAAATGTTACTTTGCTCACACTCCAACAGCACGTCAAGTATTAAAAACCATTTGTCTCCATTCACTCCTATCAAACACGCTCACGCATGCCTGCTGGAAGTCCAAGCCCCTCGCACACAAAACCTCCTTTACCCCCTCCCTCCAACCTTTCCTAGGCCGACCCCTACCCCGCCTTCCTTCCACTACAGACTGATACACTCTTGAAGTCATTCTGTTTCGCTCCATTCTCTCTACATGTCCGAACCACCTCAACAACCCTTCCTTAGCCCTGTGGACAACAGTTTTGGTAATCCTGCACCTCCTCCTAACTTCCAAACTACGAATTCTCTGCATTATATTCACACCACACATTGCCCTCAGACATGACATCTCCACTGCCTCCAGCCTTCTCCTCGCTGCAACATTCATCACCCACGCTTCACACCCATATAAGAGCGTTGGTAAAACTATACTCTCATACATTCCCCTCTTTGCCTCCAAGGACAAAGTTCTTTGTCTCCACAGACTCCTAAGTGCACCACTCACTCTTTTTCCCTCATCAATTCTATGATTCACCTCATCTTTCATAGACCCATCCGCTGACACGTCCACTCCCAAATATCTGAATACGTTCACCTCCTCCATACTCTCTCCTCCAATCTGATATTCAATCTTTCATCACCTAATGTTTTTGTTATCCTCATAACCTTACTCTTTCCTGTATTCACCTTTAATTTTCTTCTTTTGCACACCCTACCAAATTCATCCACCAATCTCTGCAACTTCTCTTCAGAATCTCCCAAGAGCACAGTGTCATCAGCAAAGAGCAGCTGTGACAACTCCCACTTTGTGTGTGATTCTTTATCTTTTAACTCCATGCCTCTTGCCAAGACCCTCGCATTTACTTCTCTTACAACCCCATCTATAAATACATTAAACAACCACGGTGACATCACACATCCTTGTCTAAGGCCTACTTTTACTGGGAAAAAATTTCCCTCTTTCCTACATACTCTAACTTGAGCCTCACTATCCTCGTAAAAAACTCTTCACTGCTTTCAGTAACCTACCTCCTACACCATACACTTGCAACATCTGCCACATTGCCCCCCTATCCACCCTGTCATATGCCTTTTCCAAATCCATAAATGCCACAAAGACCTCTTCAGCCTTATCTAAATACTGTTCACTTATATGTTTCACTGTAAACACCTGGTCCACACACCCCTTACCTTTCCTAAAGCCTCCTTGTTCATCTGCTATCCTATTCTCCGTCTTACTCTTAATTCTTTCAATTATAACTCTACCATACACTTTACCAGGTATACTCAACAGACTTATCCCCCTATAATTTTTGCACTCTCTTTTATCCCCTTTGCCTTTATACAAAGGAACTATGCATGCTCTCTGCCAGTGTATTATTACCAAAGAACAATGTAATAGGACAATATATCTGCAGTCTTATGAAGATCAATGGCTAATATCAAAGTATCTAAATATGAACACACTATGTGAGAAGTGCATAAACACAGGAGTGAAGACAAAGGAAAATGGAGAATTCCCACCTGTCTCCTCTTCTCATGTAACCTACAATATATGGAAAACTGAAGACAAAGAGGAGACTCATGAACAGAAATGGAGGAAAGCTGGAGACCAGGACTCTGTCACTGAATTAGTAAACAACAATAAAGGAACGAAACAGTGAACCCAAGAATTAGTGATAAAACACAGTGGGGATAAAGGCTGCCCAGATTACCATAAAGGAAAATGCAAATAGGAATGCAACAATTGTTTTAACAGGGATACAAAAACGAGCTGCTGGAGTGTGAGCAGGGTAATATTTTGTGAAGGGATTCAGGGAAAACCTGTTAGCCAGACTTGAGTCCTGGCAATGGGAAGTACAATGCCTGCACTTTAAAGGAGGGGTTTAGGATACTGGCAGTTTGGAGGGACATCTAAGCTGTTATATCTGAGCACCTCTGCAAAGACAATGATTATGTATGAGTGATGAGGAGTGTTGAATGATAATGATTTTGGGTGGGGGGGGGGAGGAGGAGGAGGAGGAGGAGGAGGCCGTCTTTCATTTTGGGTCACCCTGCCTCAGTAGGAAACAGCTGATGTGTTAAAACAGACATTGAGCATGATGTGAGAAGAGTTTCAATCATGATAGAAAAGAAATCAAGCTTCAGGCTTAAGATGGAAGAACAAGTGCAGGGATGAGAATTAGATTTGGTAGGAAGTCTATGAGTCAGATACAAGAAACCTGAAAAAATAGTGTTTACTAATTAAAAACATTATAATGAATAAAAATTAAATACTGTGCAGTGAAGGGGCACTTCCCAACAAATGAATGAGATGTGTTCTTGAAAACAATTTGCAGCTGTAGTCTTTAGTACTTTGAATCAATCTTTCATAAAGAAACATTTTATGAGAAATTTATTCCAGATCTACTCCAATAATTTTTTTTAACAACAAATTAAAAACAAATACTGTGTGCCCCAATTAGACAATCCCCAAATGAACAGGGCACTTTGAAACCAATTAATTTCTTATGAACAGCACTCTCCACTTACAAACAAATGATTAGATTTGCATGTTCATTTTGTGCACATGTGCTGGGTATATACACATATGTTTGGTAGAGACAAGTCAAAGACTGAAAATGTAATAATTATACTGAATGGTGTGGGGCAAGTGGAAGCAGTCCTGACATGTGCATGTCAGAGGACTACCACAGTTCTCACCCACACCCAGATAACCATCAGTTATGAAGACTGGGGACAGGACCAGAAGACTGGACATAGAGTACAGACCTCACTCAAAGAGAAAGATCTAGGAGTGAGCATAGTTCCTAGCATATTGCCAGAGGCTCACATCAACCAAATAACCTCTGCAACAAAAGCTCAGAAATCTCAACTGAGTAATTCAGGGCCTTTTATACAACATATGTCGTATCCTGGAGTATGCAGCACCAGCATGGAACCCACACCTTAAATGGAAAGTTTAGGAACTGGAGAAAGTGCAGAGGTATGCAACAAGGCTTGTTTCAGTGCTATGGGAAATGAACTATGAGAAGGCTAACAGAAGTGAATCTAATAACAATGGAGGACAACAACCAGGGGAAAAAATGATAAAAATATATAAAATGCTGAGGCAAACTGACAGGGGCAAGCAAAGATAGGCTTTTTGAGAAGTTGGGGAAATGAGAGCTCAGGTGCACAGCTGCAAGTTAGACACCGATGAGCCACAAGGATGTCAGGAATAATTTCTTCAGTCTCAGGGTGGTCAGGAAGTGGAATAATCTCAACAAGTAAGTGGTGGGGGTAGGCTCTGTATGTATATAGTTTATAGAGCAGGTACACAAGGCCCCAAGGCTAGGATCAAGTGAATCCGGCAAGCGGCAAGTTGAGGCAAGGCTAGGAGCTAGGACTTGGGCAAGGGGTTGTGGTGAGGGTAGCACATTCTGGGGCATATGTTGAAAAGGAGAGCAAATGAAAGTAGCAATCACCAGTTGCCGTGGACACTTCCAATACAGGACTGCCTTTAGTTACCTACAAGTACACCACATGAAATAATTATTAAATCTATAGCTCTTTATCAATTTCTAACAAATGAATAAGAGCCTACCACATATGCACAAAATGAACATGCATATCTTTCTTCTTTCAACAAATCGGTCATATCCCACCAAAACAGGGTGACCCAAAAAGAAAAACAAGATTCTCTTTTTAACTTTAGCAATGTATACAGGAGATGGGGTTACTAGCCCCTTGCTCCCAGCATTTTAGTCGCCTCTTACGACACGCATGGATTACGGAGGAAGAATTCTGTTCCACTTCCTCATAGAGATAAGAGGAAATAAACAAGAACTGGTAAGAAAATAAAAGAAAACCCAGAGGGGTGTGTATATATATATGCTTGTACACAGGGCTGGATTAAGAAGTCTCCAGGCCCTAGGCTATTCAGATTGGCGGGGCCCCTTTGAGTTAAGGGTAAGCGAAGCGACCCCTTCCAGCTTGGGGGGGGGGGTCGGTGTGAGCCTGTTTAAGGTCTAATTAAATACATTCTGGCTATTTAGATTAAATTTAATAGGGAAAGTACATCAAGACAACCAAAACCATTTACCAACAGCCATTATAACTATCTTGTTAAATCATGCATTTTAAAGAGAATAAACTCAAGACAGCATAGTATTACTAGATTAGGCTATTAAAGTAGTGACATCATGTACCTATTATATTCAGCAAAACCACTACAGCACTATTATTCCCTTTATAAATCACTGACCATTATTGTTATCATTGCATCATGCATAAGACTATCAAATCATATAAACTCAAGAAAGTAAAGAATTGTTTATATTCACAGGCACTTCTTAAATAAACTTTTTTCTGGATTTCATATTGGCAAAATCATCAATTATATTCTGAAAATCAATATTTCTTGTTAGATCAGACTCAGTGGTCAACAAGGCTAGGTTACACAATTTGTCTTGGCTCATTGTTGAACGGAGCTGGTTTTTCACTCTTTTCAAAACAGAAAATGAACGTTCTTCTTCACAGTTAGTAGCTGGAAGTGTTAGGTAAAGGCGATACACTATGTCAACATTAGGGAAGGTTTCTGAGATACCTGCATTTCTTAAATGTTTCAAAGCAGCTGAGGGCACACATTTTTCAGGTGGAGCTTTAATCTGATTCATATACCCAGAA